GTGTGGTGGTGCACGCCTTTAATCCCAGCACTTGGGAGGCAGAGCCAGGCAAATCTCTGTGAGTTCGAGGCCAGCCTGGGTGACCAAGTGAGTTCCAGGAAAGGTGCAAAGCTACACAGAGAAATCCTGTCTCAGAAAAAAGAAAAAAGAAAACAGGCTGTGTGAGCACACTTTTTTTTTTTTTTTTTAAAGCCTGTAAGCTTCTGGCTTCTGCTTCAATTCCTGCCAGCCAGGTTCCTGCCTTGAATTCCTATCCTGACTTTCCATGACAGGCTGTGTAAGGTAAATAAATCCTTTTCTCCTCAAGTTGTTTTTTGGTCATGGTGTTTTATCATAGTAATAGAAACCTTCACTAAGACATTAGGACAGTCTGACTCCCACATTTAGACAGGGTGATATTAAATATTTAAGTTATATAACTAACACCTAGCATCTTGGTCTGTTTATCAAAAGTTCTTTAGACAGCCTGGTCTACAGAGTGAGTTCCAGGACAACCAAGACTACACAGAGAAACCCTGTCTCGAAAAACCAAACACCCCCACTTCCCCTACCCCGCAAAAAAAAAAAAAAAAAAAAAATCTAGTAATTTGGCCACTCTCCTATAGATCTCCTATAGACAAACAATGTAACTTTCCCCTCCTTTTTTGGGGGACAAGGTCTTGCTATATTGCCTAGATTGGCCTCTAATTCATGATCCTTCTGCCTCAGACTCTCAAATGCTGGGATTTACAGTTGTGTACCACCATACTTGGCTACAACATGACTTTATTTTTTTCTTTTTCTGGTCTCACTACAGATTGACCTCAAAGCCTCACACATACTAGATAAAGTGAATACCACTGAGTTACAACAACACATCTTTGCCAGCATGGATACTAGTCTATCTGCCAGTTAGTAAAACAGCACTTTGCTTATCTGTCAAGCATCCAGGCACTTAACCCTTAAGAATTTGAAATTACTCTAGGAATCTGCCCCTACCAAAGAGGCTGAGGAACAGGTTCTAAAATATGGTGACTTTACCAAAGCCATATGATAAACTGAGCAGCCATCTGCTAAAAGGCCCTGACCACTCCCCACGGACTACAAACCTAATTGAAAGTCCATGGGAAGGACCCTTCCTTACATTCTCAAAAAATAAGGGGTGTGTGTGTGTGTGTGTGTGTGTGTGTCTGTCTGTCTGTCTGTCTGTCTCGGGGGTGATAATGAGATGACTTAGCAGGTAAGAGTACTTGAGACCATGCTTGACAACCTGAGTTTCATCCCTGGGACCCACATCATAGAAGAGAACCAACTGCAAGTTATCATCTGATCCCCACATGTGTGCCCTGGCATGCATGCATGTGCATACACCTCACACAAAATAAAAGGTAATTAAACCTTTTTAAAAGTAAGGGGCACCCTTAAAACCTATGTTTCCTAAATGACAACCCTTAATAATACTACACACACACACACACACACACACTCAGTCTATATCATATTCTAGGATACTCTAAAACTATCCTCTATAAACCAGGAATGGTGGTGGCTCATCCTGTAATCTCAGGAAGAAAGACGGGGTAGGGGGGACACATGGGACACAACTATAAATGAAATCTGAGGCCACCTTGGGCAAAGTGGGTACAAGGCTAACCAAAGCTATATTGCAATAGCAAGACCCTGTCACACAAATCCCAACTATACATAAAACACGGGGGCTAGCAAGATGGCTCAGCAGGGAAAGCCACTTGCCACCAAGCCTGAAAACTTGAGCTCCATCCCCAGGTGAAAGGAGAGAACTTTTGCAAGTTGTTCTTTGACCTTAACTCATTGAGCCATGGAACATGAGCATGCCCACCCCCCAGTAAATACAAAAATCCAACAAAAACAACCAGTTTTCTTTATAAATCTTTGGCATAGGGTAGCCTCAATTGTTACTTCAGGGAACAAATCTGCCCTGATTTTTCAGTGCTGGGGATGAAATCCAGGGCCTCAAACATGCTAGGTACTCTGAGTCATATTCCCCGGGCCCTGGTCTTATTATCCTATCTGTATCCCATATTACTCTTCCCTCTCAGATGTCTCTTTCTAGCCTGAAATGCCTTACTCCTTGGAGATGATGACACAAAGGAGGACACATCAGGATTTCCTAGCAGAAAACATCCTTTTGTTCCTTCCTAGGTTTTCAGCTGACAGAACAGCACGTAGGTTCCTTTTTTCAGAAAGCAGTCCTAAGGTTACTTGGACCTTATTCCTGGCTTCTGACACCTCAGAGGTCACACAATAGTAAATGTAGCTGGGATTCTTTTCCCTTCCAAAGACACTGCCGTATATCTGTCCACACTAAAGCCTTAGAAGATACCACTGTAATTACTCTCAAGGTGATCTGAGATCAAACAAAACAGCTCAGGAATAATACCATCTTATTTATCAATCTATTTTGAGACAGTGTTTCTCTGTGTAGCCCTGGCTGTCCTCGAACTCTCTCTGTAGACCAGGCTGGCCTTGAACTCAGAAATCTGTCTGGCTCTACCTCCAGAGTGCCATCTTTTTAAACATCTTCACTGGACTGAGATGAAGCTCAGTGGCAGAGCACTTGCCATGTGAATGGAAGTGGATTGGACTCTTACCACCAAAAGGGAAATAACAACACTCCCTTGACCTTACATCCTTCTGCACTTATCCCCAAATGTCTGTTCCGCCCACAGCACAACTCTCAAGGTGCCTTCATGTACTGTCTCTGTTTCCTTACTTTCCTGTTTACTTTGTAACCCATTCTACTCAGCCCAACATCTTCAGTTGGTCCACACTAGTCAAGCTAAAGTCGCCAATGATATTCTCCAGTTATCTCCGAGGTAACAAATTCAATAACTAAGCTTCTGGCTCAGCTGTACCAGAACACTCAGCACCTGGAAACAGAAGCCTCCCTTCCTGCCTTAAACCTCTAGCCTCGGAATCTACAATTCAACACTCTAGACTTGACTTTCTGTCTGCTTCCTTATCAATTACCCTCTAATATTGGAGTTTCCCAGGATTTAGTCATGGAATTTCTCTTTTTACTTTCTTCTAAGTCAAAGGTCATAAGCCGACAGGCCCACAAGAGTGGTTGAATTGGCTCGTGGTTTAAAAACGTCTTATTTAGTTGCTGACATTTGAACATCTGGATTTTTACATACTTCCAAACCCAACTTTCTGATTCTTTTGGGGGAAATAACAGTATCTGTTGACAATGGGCCAACATTCCCACAACACAGCATAAATACATGGATAGAGCAGAAGCAGCTCCCTTGATGCGAGGTGCATCTGTTATCCACACAGCTAAAGCAAGAAGTTTGGGAATACAGTCCTAAGTCACATTCCACGGTCTTGCGGGGGAGAGGTGATCACTAGAACATCTGGCAATAGGGCCTTTGTCAAGTTTACCACTGGTAGGGTAGGGTCCCCCAGGCGCCTCCAGGGAGAGGGAAGGGCTGAAGGACTTCACCAACTGGGAACCTAACAGAAATAACGTCTTTTCACGGTGCCAAAAAGACGACTGCTGTGGTTTGCTCTCTCTCCGGACTAAGGTGGCCTCGAGACATGCAGGAGGCCCTGTCCTGGTCCCCTTAACTTCACACCCGGTTTTGTAGGGCCCTTTTCTAGATCACCAAAGCCACCGGGCAAAGAAAGACGGCTCTTCTAGCTGTGGATCTTGAGCACCGAACAGTGTTGGAGAGGTGTGAAGGCGTGGGAACTCGCTGGGTCTTACTCGGTAGCGGAACACGGTGCAGAGCTCAACCCGGGTTGGGCCCAGCTGGATAGGAGACTGGGCAGGGCCGAACCCTGGCGTCTCCTCGACCCCACGGCCCAGCCCCGCGCGCGTAGATCGGCTAACCTTAGTCCTCCCGCCCTCCACGGCTTCGGGGGAGAGAAAGAGCTAGAAAGAATCACGGCAACCAGGCGGAGATGCGACTGCCCAGAGGCCGCAAACCTCCGCCCAGGAAGCCCCACCCAACGGGAACCAGGACGCCTCCGCCTTAGCAAAGCCCACGCGCGACCCGGCGAGGGCGCGGAAGGGCGCGTGCGGCGTGACGACGCGACTCGCGGCGCATCTCGTGACGCCATCGCGCCCGCTTTTGAAAGTTGGCGCCCGGGGCCGCCTCCCATGCTGCCCTGCGCCAACCCCTCCCCTCACCTTTCCTCCCCCGCCCTCAACTCGCCGCCGGCCGGCCCCCCCCCCCCACCCGTCTCTTCCCTTATCAGCACCCGCGGCCCCGGCAGCGCCGACGCAGGCGCACTGCACCGCGCCGCCGCCATTTTGTGTCCGAGCCTGTGGAGCGATTAAACCGTGCGCGGAGCTGCTTCTTTGGCGGCAGCGGCGACAGCGGTAGCCAGTGCAGGCACGCGGAGCTGGCCGGGGACGCCAGGTGGCCGGAGCGGTGGAGCGGCGGCGGAGCGGGCGCCGCGGGGGGTGTGGCGCGAAGGTAAGGGGGCCCGGGGTGGAGGAGGTTTCGCGGGCCGCCTCTAGGTGTCACGATGGGGCCGCTCCGGTCGGCGCTGGCTGCAGCCCGGCGCCAGCGCCGCCGCCGGGGGGTGTTTGTCTCCCTCTACCGTCCCTGCTGCGGCGCGGCCGCCGCCATTGCCCGGCGCTGCCGCCAGGGCCTGGCCAACCCCCTCCACGCCCGCCCGCCCGCCCGCTAGCTTCCCTCCTCCCAACATGGTAGGCCTCTGGCGGCGGTGGCGACAGAGGCCTGCGCGCTCGGCGACTCCATTTTCCTTCCTTTGTCTCTACCCTCGAGGCCGGCTTTTGGCCCGGCCGATCTTCGGGCCGCGGCCCGCCCTCTGCCCTCCGCCCCTCCCGCGACGGGTGGCCCTAACCGAGGCTGAAGCGCGGAGGCTCGGTTTCCGCGCTTGCCTCGCTCAGGGGTCTTGAACCCTCTGCCGCCCGCGCGTAGCCAGCTCCCGGAACCGTGTGGGTGTCGGGTCCCTACCGACGCGCCTCGGACTGCCCATCTTCCAGTCCTCCCGGTCCCGGAACCTACCCGGCCGCCCCGAGTGCTTCTCCAGCAGCTGGGGTGCTCTGTAGTTTCTCCGAGTCCGATCATCGCCGCCGCTGGTCTCCGTCACCGCCGAGTGGCGCAGGCGGCTCTGCTGTGGCTGCGAGCAGAGGGACCCCTGAACTGCCGAGAGCTCCCTCTGCAAGGCTGGCTGAGCTGCTCGCGCCTCGACGCCGCCCGAGCGGGCGGGGGAACGCGCGCTCGCCGCCCCCGCCGGGCCCCGTTGCGCCCCCAAACTCCACGCCAGGGCATCGCTCGGGACCCGGCCGGTGCGGCCCCCAATGGTGGGCGGAAAAGACACGAGTTTCCGCACCAAATAGTTTTTCCCTAGCTAGGTTCGCACTCTTTAAGAGCCTTGAAATGATCGCAGTCAGACGTTGTGCGCTCAGATCTCAAAGGGACTGAAACTTCATTTCACTCTGATCTCAAGAGACGTGTTAAACTCCAAAATTTCGGGGGAATAGGCTGATTACGTTTGTGCAGGCGACACTGGAGTTTGCCTCCGGTTTAAAATGTCCTGACGTAACTTCGCACTCCACTTAGGACCTGATGCTCTAGAGCTAGGCTAAGACAGTTCAACCCCTCTGGGATTGTGCAACCCGATCTAAAGCGCCAGTAGGGCAGAATGAACTTATTCTCGACTAGACTGGTAATTTGAATGTTCGATGAAATTTGAGGGTTGATGTTGTAATTGAATCCTGGGTCACTTGCAGCAGATGGTTTATAAATGTCTGTGTCTGATGTAACTACTCTTTAGTAGCTGACTTCCTGTATAGCATTAAGTAAACATCAGCATAGAGACAATACTTTTTTGGAGTTTAGATCAACTAAGAAAGCTAAAATTCCATGGCCTCCATAGGCAGGAAAAGAAATTAAACAGGATATTCCCTGACTTTAAGTCTTTCGCATTAAAAAGCTTCCTCTGTTAAATTGCTGGAGTAACCTTTATGTCCCGAGGGGCCCCCCCATATTTTGTTACCAATTAGCCGGAGGCGCTTTAATCGTATCTCTCCCCCTCCTCCCCCCACGCCCGGACAGTTTCTCTTTGTAGCTCTGGCTGGTCTCTACTCAGAGATCCACCTGCCTCTGTCTCCCGAGTGCTAGGGTTAGGGGTGTGCTCCGACATGCACGGCTTGCTTTAAACATCTTGATACTAAGAAAAAAAGTGCTATTCACTGTGTGTGATCTCAGTTGGTAGGTCCCGGCAACCCACATTGTATGCAATTATTTCAACACTCCCCAACGTTTATGCCATCCCATCCCCCTCCCTTAAATGAACCTAGGATTCTCCCAGCTAGTTAGGCCTTACTAGTCACATTGAAATCCTATGCGACTTTGTTTTTTTGTGGTGCTTGTGCATGCCATGTAAGTGTTCTACCTTTGAGGTATGTTCTCAGTCATTCAGCATTTCATCCCTTCTTTGAACTCCAGAATGTTCTTCCTCACCCTCCCCCACAATAAAATTGCATTGAGTAACTAAATGTAGTAGTGTTGATGGAATGCCAGCCTTTAGTAGAACCATCTTTCTTTTTTCTTCTTCTAGTACGCTAGATCCAACTATGTAATTTATTACATTCTTTAAAGTTTGACAAGTGACATATTTTGTTTATTAAAATAAGCTGCACAAGCTCCAGTTTGGTGCGTACCAGTACTTTGGAGGTAGAGGCAGGAGGATAGGGAGTTCAAGGTCATCCTTAACTTTAGCAAGTATAAGGCAACCCTTTGGTACTCGAGACTGTCTTAGCAGAGAGTAGTTGGAATTTGTGTTTGTAGTACTGGGGTTTGAACTCAGGGCCTTGAATAAGCTAAATGAGTGCTTGCTCTCTACCCCTCAGCTACATCCATAACCCCTTTTTATTTTTATTTTTTAATTTTTGGTTTTTCGAGACGGTTTCTCCATGATAATTTGGAGTCTGTCCTGGAATTCACTTTGTAGACTAGGCTGGCTTTGAACACTCAGAGACCTGCCTGCCTCTGCCTCCCAAATGCTGGGATTAAAGGCATGCAGCACCACCAGGCTCCCCTCTTTTTTTTTGGGGGGGGGGGTTTCAAGACAGGGTTTCTCTGTGTAGCTTTGCGCCTTTCCTGGAACTCACTTGGTAGCCCAGGCTGGCCTCGAACTCACAGAGATCCGCCTGCCTTTGCCTCCCAAGTGCTGGGATTAAAGGTGCAAGCCACCACCGCCCGGCCCTCTTTTTTTTTTTTTTTTTTTTTTTAATGAAGTTTCTCATTAAGTTGCCCAGGTTGGCCTTGAATTTACTATGTAGCTTAAGTAGGCCTCCCACATTAAATCCTTCTAACTCCCTAATATCTGGGATTACAATCTTGAATCCTGACACATTTAAAAGGTAAGACTGGTCAGGAGTACATGGCAAAGTTTAGTCCCCAGTACTACAACAACAAACAAATGGCAAATATTAGCAAAACACAGAATGTTTGAAGTGTCATGAAATCCAATCCATTTTATACGATAAAGATTTTTAAAATGGAAAGAAAACAAATAAATCACTAAAAGAAAATAAATGGGGTGGCGCACGCCTTTAATCCCAGCACTCAGGAGGCAGAGCCAGATGGATCTCTGTGAGTTCCAGGCCAGCCTGGGCTACAGAAAGAGTTCCAGGAAAGGCGCAAAGCTACAAAGAGAAACCCTGTCTTGAAACACCCTCCCCGGCCCCCCCCCCCAAAGAAAAGAGAAGAAAATAAATGGGAATGAATTAATGCAAGATAACTCAAAGGGCCTACTTATTTTAAATTTTTTTGGTGGGGGATTGAAACAGGGTTTCTCTCTGTAATAGCCCTGGCTGTCCTGGAACTGACTGTGTAGACCAGGCTGGCCTCACACTTGCTCTCTCTGCCTCCTGAGTGCTGGGATTAAAGGTGTGGGCTACTACCCTGGGCTTTTACTTGATTCTGAACTCAAGTCATCAGACTTTCCTGGAAATAGATTGTACCCACAGAGCCGTCTTGCCCAGCCCATGGACTTACTTAATTTAAACCTATAACGTGACACAAGTACATGACTGCCTGCCTATACAAGGAAATCCTGTTTATTTAAGAGTAATTGGAAAGTTTTCGTTAGAGATCTCTCCAACTTGGTCAGAAAATTTTTTAAGTGCAAAAGTTAACCTTAAGATGTGTTCTAAGAGTTTTAGGGTTTTGTTTGTTTGTTTGTTTTTTCTTTTCTTTTTTTAGGATATTGAGAATTAAAGGAACCCAATTGGGACTAATGATTGTCTTGGGAGTTCCTTGGCAAAGTCTACATGTGGCTGACTAATGCTGTAGGGAGGAGTTCTATGGCAGAATCTTGCACACTTTTACTTACCGGCAGAAAATTACCTTTTGAGCCTTTTTTTTTTTCACCTAGGCGTTGCTGCTGGCATCACAACTATCCCACAATGTAGGAATCCTGATTTGTCCAACTTTATATCCTATTTACATGTCTTGGCTCCAGATAACTTGAAACTGTTGGTAAAAATGACCCTTCAAATAGCTAAGATTTGTCATGATTCAAGACTAAAAAGGAACTTCCAGGTTTAGGAAGAACAATAGAAGCAAATATGTGCAGCATTGAAGATGGCTATTTTTTTGTTGTTTTTGATTATAAAATGTAGGGAGTTTTTTGGGTTTGTTTGTTTTGTTTTTGTTTTTAACTTTTTTGGGGCCACCCAGCTCCCAAATAAATACATGGAGACTTATTCTTACTTATGAATGTCCAGCCTTAGATAGCTGTTCTCAGATATGTAGATTTGTCATATCACATTTATTTTCAAGACCACTTAAAGCCAAGCATGGAGGTATATGCCTATAATATCAGCATTCAAGAAGCTGCGGCAGGAGGATCATGAGTTTGAGACTAACCAAGTCTATGTAATGATACCTTGTCTCAAAAATACCAAAACAAAACAACAAAAACCCTTCTGGAACTAGAGAAATGGCTCAGTAGTTATGAGCACTTGCTGTTTTTGCCAAGGATCCAGGTTCTGTCCCTATTACTCACATGGTGGCTCACAACCATCTCTAACTCCTGGTTCTAGGCATTATTCACCATCCTGTTCTGACCTCCATGTACTTATGTACATGTACGCAAAACATTCATGCATAAAGTAAAAAATAAATCTCTTATTTTGTAAAAATTTTTTAAAACTTGTTGTGGGATAGGGCTATATATGTAGCCCTGGTTGTCCTAGAACCACCGATGTAGATAGATTAAGCTGGCCTCAAACTCAGTCATTGTCTGGCCCCTGCCTCCCAAGTGTTGGAATTACAGGCATGTACCATCCTGAGAGGTTGTGGTAAATACCATACAGACTTTTTCTAGTCATTATCTTCAGATTGTCCTGGCCAGTATCATGGTACATTTTTTCCCAGTGTTTTAGTGTTTGAATGCAAAGATGCGGCATTACATAGTCTATTGATATACACCTCAAGAGTGGTGATATATTTTTCATACACTTGATATTTATTTTTGGAATAACTTTAAATTTTTCAGGGATGTAAAGTCTATTGCCTTTGGTGTTATGGACTTCAATGTGAAATTGTTTCTTAGACAAAATTAACAGAAGAGCCATGCCATCCCTTTATCTTGAGGTTTTTTTTTTTTATCTTGAGTTTTAAAAGTATTGTATCAGCTTATTTTATTGAGCTAGTGAAATTATGAGGGGGATATTCTCTTCATTGTACTTTATATACCGAATTCTTTGAAAACTTTTTGTTGCCATTAAAGATTTTTATTTTATGTGTATGAATGTTTTTGCCTGCATGTATGTATGTATTCCATGTGCATACCTTGTGCCCACGAAGGTCAGAGGGGGTCAGATTCCCTGGAATTGGAGTTACAGGTAGTTGAGAGCTAACATGTGGGTGCTGGGAACTGAACCTGGGTCCTCTGCAAGAGCAAGTGCTCTTAACTCTAGGCCATCCCTCCAGCCCTTTTTTGTTGTTTTTTTGAGGTAGTCTCACCTCAAACTCAATCCTACTTCAGCCTGGGCCTATGGGTATATGTCACTGTCTTTGAAAACTCTTCAGAGAGTACTTCACTTGGGAGGTTTCTTTTTCCTCTCTTTCTTTCTTTCCTTGTTTTTTTTTGGGGGGGGGCGTGGGGATTGGGGTGGGGCATGATCTCAAGTAGTTGAGGCAGTCCTGGAGCTTACTGTGTAGACCAGACTGGCCTCAAACTCAGAGAGATCTTCCTGCCTCTGACCTAGAGTCTAGAGTGCTGGGATTAAAGGCATTGGTCACCAGGCCTGGCTCTTTATTTTTTTTAAAATGCGATAGATTCCTTTTTGTCATTATTTGAAGCACGACAATTTATTTGTAGTTTAGGGGAGGAAAAATGTTCATTAAAACAAGGATTTGATTATTGTTCTAGGATTTTCAAAGGTCTTCGGAAGCTTCTCTATGTCCCTTGTTAAGCTTACCAGTTTGTGCTGCAAACTTACCGGTAACACTACTCACTGTTTACTGAAGATAAGGAAACAAAGTGCTAAAGGATTGTTATTTCAGCTGTAAGAATTAATTTTTGGTAGTTTGAGTGTAATGTGCCATGATTATAATGGAATACTGTCTTAGCAATCATAAATTCTTTTAATCTATCTGTATATATTCATTGAATGTCTAAAAAGTAAATGAATGTTGTATTGTTGGCCTGATAGGTATTCATAGATTCAATTAATATATGAACAGTTTATTGCCTGGTGGTGGGGGTTTTGTTGTTTTTGAGATAGGATCTTGTTTTTTATCTCCCGCTGGCTTTGAACTATTGACAATCCTCCTGCCTTTGCTTCCCAGATTCGGACATTTAGGCCTTCATTATCACAACTAGCTGGTCTATTGTTTTTTCCTCCCAATCACATCAATCTTCCCTTTTTATGCTGTTTGGTGTGTTTATGTGAATTTGCTGTTTCATTAAATGATTTCTGCTTTTCTTTTAGAATGACCACAAACCTAGAACCAAAGAACATGATGCACTAGCAGACAGACTTGGAGCTAGGGACTGGAGAGCTGGGTTGTTTTCCTTCCTCAAACTGATTTTGCAGCCACGGAGAGGTAAATGCCTTTTTCATTGTTTGCTCTCTTGTTTTGGTTTTTCGAGACAGGGTTTCTCTGTATAGCTTTGGTGCCTGTCCTGGATCTTGCTTTGTAGACCAGGCTGGCCTCAAACTCACAGAAATCCACCTGGCTCTGCCTCCTGAGTTCTGGGATTAAAGGTGTGCACCACCACCACCACCACCACCACCACCACCACCACCACCACCACCACCACCACTGCCCAGCTCCATTGTTTGCTCTTTAAAAGGGACAAGCTGGACTCAGTGGTGCAGGCCTGTGGTTCCTGCTACTCCAGGCATAGGTAGAATCACAAGTTGAAGGACACCCTGGGGAAAATAAAAACGTAAAAAGATAGGCATGGTGGCATCTGCCTGTAATCCCAGCCAGCACTCGGGCGCCTAAAAGGTGTAATGTTATAGCCAAGATTCACTCCCCAGTACAAGGGAAAGAAAGGGTATGAGGTGATGCCACACTCTTGGGTCTAGAGGATTTTCTGGGTAATTTTCAGCATAGGAGATATAGAACATTGGGTAGTTGAGAGCATGCAAGCTATATTATCCTGGGTATGAAACTGTAGTGCTATATACTAGGTAGTTGACAGGGCAGATAACTATGTTTTTCTGTAGAAACTTTCGGGTTATATATTTTGACCATGAGGAGATGATGTGAAATGGTAAATGACAGTTTATAGTTTTATGATTTTGATATGTAACAGATGTGATTTTCTTTTTGGAGAATCCAGTGTCTGGGATAAAATTTTTCTTAATTGGAGTTAGTCTAACTGGCCCGTGTTTGTCTTGTAGTGTGATAGTCATTATCAGTTTTTGTTAATCTATGCTTTTTTGCATGGGTACTTAGAAAAGACCTTATAAATACTGGGGTCTGTTCTGCTTTGAGATTTCTAAATAACTAAGTAGGATTTGAGATTAAATT